AAAATTTTGGTTTTTTTTTTTTTTTTTTTTTTATGAGCAATAGGCATAAAAGGAACTTAAAGATGTGGCTGTTAGTAAAACGTGATTTCAAACTGAAGTCATTTGCTCTACCAGAAAGCAACAGACACTCTGTTAGGGAGGCTAGAAGCAATCTTCAGAATTACAGACAGAAAAAACCTTACTGAAGCAGCAAGTAAACCGATTGAAAAAAAACCTAAGATGGAGATCAAACATCTTGATTAATCTGACATGCTAGGAATCAACTTAAACTGAGTAACAAAGCCAAGCTTCTACAAGAGTTTAACCTGTCAGTAGGGCAGAGCACCATGGAAAAGGGCTAGCACATTTACCTCCTCCTAACGTTTAAGAACATTCTTCAAAGGCTACTAAGAATATAAACCAAAGTATAAGAGTTACAGAACTGTCCTGGATTTAAAAAGTCAAACTAAGCTTTCCACCTAGCAAAAACAGTTAAGTATGATGCCCTAATGTCAGAACAGTCTTTAATGCATTCATGAATGATCTGAAAAGGATATTGATGGCTCTAATTTAGTGGTAATTATTTGGGTAAGAGACCTGGAGGGCATGCTGGATGTTTTGATACATCTCAATGCACAAGGCCAGCTGCAAGGTATACTAGTAAGTAACAAATAAACCAAACCCAATCTGACAACAAGCACCCCCTTCCCCTATTCTCCCTACCCGACCCAAGAAAAATCTACAAAATCCATTAAAGTCTGCTGGCTGAAGGTATCAGAGATAAAATTTAGTCTTTTCTCCAAGACCAAACCCAGATTGATTAGTTGGGCAACAATTCCTCCATGCCTGGATTGCTTGTTATGTCTTGTGTCATATTCAATATAGTCTGGTAGGTATCCTCACTTCTCTGGTTGGAGCTGTTCCTCTGCATGTGGAAAGAGCAAGAATGAACATGATGCTCTAGCCTTATGGTTAGGGGCCTCTCTTGAAAGGCAGGAGATGCGAGTTTCAATTTGTTCAAACAGAGCATAAATTGAACACAGTACTTAATTAAAATTTGTAATAAAAGAAATCACTCTGACAAACATAATTACTGTGCTATATAAAGCCAGTGACCTGTCTAACCTAGTATGCAGTCTGACAAAGACTAGCACAGGGCCAGATGTTTCAGGATTAGGTACAAGAGATTTCATAACAGACACTTCTGGAAAAGGTAAGGAGAAGGTTTCTGCTTAAATCAGTCAGTTTAGAGATACTTAATAAGATCAAGAGATTAGGGGTAGACCAATAAAGATTTTTTGGGCCAATACCAATGGCCGATTTTTAAGGAGCCAGATCGGCCAATACCAGTCTGATTCTGATATGCAGCCAGGCAGCTTGGAGACCAGTGTCGGGCTGGTAAGTCTAGTGTGGGGGGAAGGGGTAGAGGGATGGAAGGGGCATGGTGGAGGGAGTAGATCGAGGCCCCTACAGTGAGGCGTAAGCGGCTCGTCTGAGGGGAATACTGGGGGGGTGGCTCCCATTGCTTTGCACACCCCGGGAGGGCATGGGGGCCATGTGCCCCTGGATCTGTGTGTGGGGCAAGGCAGGCTGCTGTTGCAGGCTGGGGCCAGGGCTGCACTGGGCTCTTCCTGACGGGGGGCTGGGCAGGGCTGGGCTGGGCTGCGCTTGGGGCAGTTGGCGACAGTGGCACTGGGAGGATGCTATGCGGGGGGCGGGGAGGAGGATGCAGCCACCCCAATATTTGCCATACCCCCCTCATACCCCACTCCCAGTGCTGCTGCCCGCCCCGAGTGCAGCCCTGCCCAGCCCTGCCAGGAAGAGCATGGCACCACCCTGGCCCCAGCC